AGTAGTTTGTGTGATTTTGCTTATCATTTGCTCGACCTTAGGTAGCGTATTTTAGTTAAAGCCGAAGCTCTGCTTGATTCTGAAATTTGTTTTGATTGCCAATTACAATACTCATCTGCCCCTGATTAAAGGATTGTGCAAGAATAATGTCATGTTTACTAAGTAGCTACAGTTCCATAGCTCCAGATTGCCACCAATGTTTTCCTACCTTTTATATTTAATTAATTTTTGTTGACATTTTATTTTATTGGGTCACTCTCTTAAAGCCGGGGAGTCGTCGCCATGCGTCAGATGGCCATAGCCTGCCATTGTTTACAAACAAATGTCTACCCATGAGCTTTGTGTTTTAGCGTGTTTTCATCGTCGATTGGGACTCCGTATGCGCAGATGATGACCTTCCCGCTTAAGCTACAGGAGATCCCATACATGAAAAGTGGTACATGTAACTTAGTGTTTAAGCAGATTGTAGCTAAAAATATCCTCATATGCTAGGTAACATTAAACACAGCCAACACAGGTTTGTATCTCACAATCCCTAGCGTTAATTAAAACACATTTTTAGTTGATCCATAACAGAGATTCATTTATTCATGATTAGTATTCCAGAATTACTTTACAAATATGTTTAAAATTCAATTTAAATGACCCTTAGAAATGACAGTTTTGTTCACAGAGCATAAACTTGTGTTTTCGCCAATACCGTGTTTCGCCTGTGAATTTTAGCTGGTTTTAAATAAGGGATGATGCCATAGCTCCGGTTTGCCCTCTAAGCCGATATGGTATGCCACTGACACACAAGGATTTGTTGTGATACAATTAGTTGTCCTATTTCACTGATGTGTCATTGACGCAACTGTTGTTGTGGAATTTGTAATTTAGTAAAATGAAATTCAATGTCAATGAGGTGACACAACTTGAATTTGATGATTTCATTTTGACTCAGTACAAAACACAACTACAATCAGGCATATTTTTATAGATATCAAATAAAATCAATTTTAAGCATTCAGTATAATTTTTTCTCTATTTCGACCTGTAAAACTATCATTATCAAGTTACAATATTTATAAATAAATTAAATATTTGTTTTTTACATTAGATCATTGGATTGTACTAATAAAATAAGCTATAAGAGGATTTCATTATTTGTCCTATAAAGGGAACCCCATCTGAATATGTTTGTAAAATAATTATACTGATATAAAGTCAGCTTTGGTGAACATTCACAAATTTTAACCCCCCTCCCCCTTAATTTTTTATAATTATTCCAAAGTTTTTATCAAGACTGGTAAGAAATTATGTTCATTTGGTTAAAAATTAAAAAAATGTATAGGAAAATAAATAAAAGAAGGCAAAATGGTGCACCAACATTTTGATGGTAAAACTAATGATGCTCAAAAGGGTAAAACCTTTTGAATGTCAAAGTCAG